ATATTTTGTTGTTCAATTCCTTTTCTTAAAACAATAAGTACATTCTGACAATTTTGAAAAGTGAGGGATTTACCAAATCTTTATATCACTACATAAAGTATATTTACTCATCTTCCAGTTTCTAAGAATTTTCTTGCTGCCTGTTTCTTGAGCCCTAAGCTAATACAGATCAAGTATCCTTTATCCAAAATGCTCGGGATCAGAAATGTTTCAGATGTTGGAGTTTTTTTGGATTTTGAAATACTTTCATGTATTTTACTGGTTAAACATCTCTAATTCAAAAATCTGAAACCTGAAGTGCTCCAAATTGGACTTTAGATTTCAGATTTTCAGATTATAGTTACCCAACATATACCACATACATTTTCCTTATATCAATTTCTCGATTAGCTAAGTTATTCTACAGCAACAGATGATCCCAAAGTCAGTGACTAACCACAGTAAAGGCTTACTTCCCACTCTCACCAGTGTGGTCTTTGCTCTGTGTCATCCTCTCTAGGAGCATAGGTGGAGGTAGGCTCTGTCTGCATTTCCATGATGTTGAGGCCTGAACTCCCCAGTATTGCGCATTAGCCCGGTATTCCATGAACCTGCATATTCTGAATCTGTAGGTTCAACCAACTAGTGATCAAAAATATTTGGACAAAACAACAAGAGTATAATTTTAGAAGTAATGGAGTATAACAACTACTTACACAGTATTTACATGGTGTTAGGTATCATAAGTAGTCTAGAAATTAATTAAAATATATGGGAGAATGGATGGACCTCAAGTATATGCAAACACTGCACCATTTTATATAAGGCATTTAAGTATCAGAGGATTTTAGTATCTGCTAAAGTCCTGGAACCAACTACCTTTGACTATACAGGGATGACCATAATTACTAGCTGTTTCAGGCTATTGAGTCCTTGAAATGTGGCCTGTCTGACTTGAGATGTACTTATAAAATACACTGCAGATTTCAGACTTGAGATTGAAAAAAATCTCACAAGTAATTTATGGATAGCTGGTTGGGCTTTTAAAATATACTGGATACATAATGTTATATATTGGTATGTACCTCAACATTTATTTGATATATTAGGTTAAATGATATATATTGTCAAAATTAATTTTTACCTTGTTTTTAGCTTCTTAAATATGACTACTAAAAATTTAAATTACATGTGTGGCTTGCATTATATTTCTACTAGATCATGCAAGACATGGCAGAAAAAATAAGAAGCATTCAATGTACACCATCACTCTCATTTCCATTCAGAGGTAACATGTCAATTCTGCTCATATTTCTCTGCCCAAAATATGTCACATGGTCATGCCTAACTTTTTGAGAGAGAGGTAATGTAGGTGAAGCATAGGCACCTAGAAAACCCAAAGTACATTATTAATGACAACTGGACATTTTTCTTAAATAGTTTAATTAATTCTACTGAAGAGATGGACAATATTAAACATCAATAAAACCTAATCAGTTTGTCATTCCCTATCCTTCCCTTACTCTTTTCATATGCTGGCTGGATACAAGTCTCCTGAACAGCTCTTAGCAATGAGCTAACATGAAGTAGATTTTCTCAGGACAGGAAAAAGAAACATGTTTAAGAATCAAAAGCAATCCTACTTAGGAGCAGTGATGCATAAATACTGGCAGCAGGGTTCTGGACCCTCTTTTGGTGGTGGAGGTCCAGGTATGAAATAATTTTGAGGCATACAAAATGTCACAAAATATATTATTAAGACCATATGACCACAACATCCAGTTGTGAAACAAAAAGCAGTTTTGCATGTACGCATTCTGTGTCGACAGAGAAACTGCGGGGGTGGTGGCTCAGCATACAGATGGGCAGGAAGCTGGGGATGGGAGAGCAAAGAGCATGCAGAACTTTCATACTCCTGACTCCAGATTTGGGTTGCACAGCAGGTCTGTAACCTGATAGGGACCCAGGAGCCCAGATGCACAAACAAATCATCAGGGCAAAGATGTGAATCAGACTACCTGTCTGAGCAGGATAACAATGTCTGTTCAGGAAAAAAAATAGTGGGAAGATAAAAAAAATGAATTTAAGCACTGCAAAGAAAGGCCAGAAAAGTGAGCTGATGTCACACCGGAAGGAAAAGGGCAGGGCGACATGAACAGAAACAGAGGTGCAAAATGCTGAAAGGAAACCTCAGTGTTGTGGGTAACCCGCAGCCAGAATAAGGACACTTCCTGTTTGCTTCTTTCTGATACAGGAATTAGCTTCTTGCTTCTACTGGGAGACATTAGTAGGAGCAAGTAAGAGGGTGAAAGTGCCAGGAGTAGGGAGTATTTGCAAGATTAGAGAAGATCCTGACCTGACAGTTTAACAAAAAAAAGCAGACAATTACACAATGGGGATCTTTAAGGCTAACAGACTACACCAAAGAATAAATAATGTCTTCACAGGTGCACATTGGTTTCATGACCTATTTTCAGTGAAGCATATGTTCATCCAGGAGTGGTCATGGTTGGCCCAGAACCAGATGTTTCCTCTTATTTCTGCCTTCCATGCAATCTGTACACACATTGGCAATCTGACAGTCAAGCCAAAGAAGAGCAGACTGAAGCACGATCCATTGCAAAGGCCAGTGGAGGGACAGAACATTCTCCTCTGAGACCTGGCCAGCAGGGCAATCTTTTTTTCTGAGAGCTCATGCTTTCTTTTTGTTTGTTGGTTTTGTTGCTTGGCCGGGTGATGATGCTAGTGTTGTTTGTGATTTCTTCCTTTCATGTTAACAGGGAGATTATTTGTTGACCTTGTGGGTGAGGGAAGGAAACTCATCAGAATGAAACAGAAGATGGGAGGATGGGGACTAGGCTTTCCAAGAAGATGACCAAAGCTGGCCCACTTGCTCTGTGAAGCCCTCACATGGTAGGGATGAAGAGAGCTGTATCTTTTGCACATGAACTGGGCAAAGAGCCTTCTGTCCTCCCCTTTTCATACCACACACTCCGGGATCTTCATTCATTCCCATGGCTTTACCTGTAACCTTAGGGCAATTCCCGGACCCCTGACTCCAGATCAGGACCTCCTACCCTTAAGTTCCAAGTACATATTCCAGCTTTCCACTGGATGTTACCATTTGGTTGTCTCACAAATATCTGAAACTTAATTCCAAAACTGAATGGATTCCCACTCACTGTCACAAATAAATTCTCTCAGACTTCTCTGCCTTAATTAATGATGCCACCATGGACCCTCAAACTAGAAACCAAAGAGTCATACTTCCTCTTCTCCTTACTTATCTTGTGCAAACCAGTAGGAAGTCATGCGAGGTGACAAAATTATCTAACTACAGTTATCAGAACATCATGTGTGGTTAAGTGACAAAGGATTGTAATTAGATTTCGCTAGTTTGCAAGTCCTGTGTATCAGGTTGGAATAGAACAGAAAAAATATCTGCTTTCTTTTAGGGGAAACTGAGAAGAAGGGGGAAGGTCTGAAGTTTCAAGGGAGACTAAAGAAATGTAACCTAGGGCAGTATGAGCTTGTGTGGAGCCAACATGTGAAAGTAAAGTATACTGGGAAGAGAGGAGAGACAGAAATGTGAGTCAAGTTGAAATAATTAGCAGAGCCAACCTTGGGAGGTGTGGAGTAGTCAGACTGGAAAGTCCCTCTGAGAGCTTCCCCCACATCCCACGTCATGGGCCTGCTTTTGTCTCTCCAGGCTGGTAGGACGCCAGAAATTTCACCTGCTGTATTAAGAACTGTGTGCCAAAATAGCCATAAAATTTCCCCACAGTACAAGAATTTGAGAAATTGCATTAGACTGTAAGTAAGGCACTGAGACAGAAACACCGATGAGGAGAGCAAAGGAAGGGCAAGATGTAGCACAACAGACAGTGCTGCGAATAGCTACTTAGGCACCGGGCAGTGGGTGCCTGCCCTTGGGCCGGTTGGTAACCCTGAGCCTGTACTCTCAAGCCTGGCTCTATCAAATGACTCAGGAAGCTTGTCCAACAACAAAGGTAGAGAGATCACAGGGCTCTAGGGCCCCACTGGTTGTCAGGCTTTTATATTACTATTAATGCTCAAGAGAGAGGGAAAGAGGAAGAGGGAAAAGTATATCAGTATGCATATTTTCTATTGGAAGGATAAAAAAAAGTACAATTTATTCACACAGAAAATGGAAAGGTTTTGGGGTAGAAAATCTCAGTGTAAATAAATTCAGTAGCTCAAGCCTCCCCATTAAAGTCAGCCTCTTTCTCCCTATGGCCTGTCCTTGTCCTCCAGCAGACTTATGTCCAAGTTCTCTTCCTTTTGCTAAGAGTAGAAAGTGCTGCTTTTTCTTAGTAGTTCCAACAGACTATCAGACTGGCTGTTTGATCTGATTCAGTCATATGCCTCCTCCAAGCCAATAATTAGGACTGGCCATATGGAGGGCACTTGTTGGTTATGACCTCAGTGCTGGAGGGAGGAGGCTGAGTCCCACCTGAAGGGTAAGAGAAAAGTAATTCCCCAAATAAAAATAAAAGTATCGTTATCTGTAAGGCAGTGGAAGAATGGAGACAAGAAAAGCAAATGCAACATAATCAGAGCACTAGGACAAACCAAGGTGGGTGTGAGTTTGTGGAGCCAAAACAGAGACACAATCAGGAGAGTTGTGGAGTGAGCCAGGGGAAATGGGATGTGTATTGAGAGAAAGTAACCAGGAAGGAACACATAGTAAAATAAGCAGCAGAGTTGGTGACAGAGACTATGAGGGCCGTGGATCTGTGAGCAAAGCTTAGCTCAGGTTCCCCCAGAAAGCAGAATCTGCAGCACAACTTAATGGTTAATGTCTCACTAGGAGGTAAAATGTCAGGGAAGCAAAAGTGATAGGCGAAAGAAGTAAGGTTGGAAGGATGAGAAACAAACAAGAAATGATGTCACTCATTTAGGAAACAACTGAGAGGGCTTCTTCTACAGGGAGCCATCTCCAGACACACTGTGCTGGAACTTGCCACCTCACAATACTCCATTGTGTGGAAGGATGGAGAAGAAATTTATCTGCCATCTCTGTTCCTCAGCTTTCTCCCAGAGATTTAACTCCTCTAAAGCTCTGTGATACCTCCAGATCCCATCAGTAGGTGAGGCCCATTCATCAAACCTGTGATGCGGTGTTTCAGCCATGAGGAGGTAGGGGAAATTACTTGAAGACTCGACATTGGCATTGAGCAGTAGAATGTGAGACCAACAAGCCGCTGGACACAGAGGATCCAGGGGGTAGGTGAAGCCAGAAGAATCTGCTGTGGCACACAGAAAGTGTTCAACACAAGGTCATACTTTTAAGTGGGAAATTTAAAAAAGCAACTATTAGCTTAATACTTGGTACATTGATTGAAAAATGTGAATAGATGAATGAATACGTGCAAGGTATTACACTAGCTCCTTAGATACAATGGCAAGAAAGCATATATTTCAGGCAGATAAATTCAACAGAAAAGGTCAGGGATTAATTTATTTGCTTTGAGAAGAGCTCAACTGTGCAGATGGCAGAATGGATTTTTAAAATACACAATACTAACTTGGGTTCTATGGTATAATCACGTAAACATTTCCAACAATGGAATTTGGGGAGTTGCCTGAGGACTACCATAATATGTGCAAGGCCATATGTATATTTGAAGTTGCAAATGGCATATCACCCATAATTTTTTAAAAGTTGAATTTATTGGTACATTCTAGGTAGATAGTACAGTTACATACATTACTGGGATCTTGTACCTTTACATGCCAGGTCTTGGTTCTCATTTTTTCCCTTTGTCCCCACCCTCCCTTCACCCCCTCTTCCCCTCCCTACCTTCAAACACTTTAATTCCATTTTTACATTTTCTCATATTTTTTTCCTTTTCCCTTATTCCCCTTTCCCTATCCTTCTCACTGTCCCTAAAAACTAAAATAGTACTCAAGATCCTAATGGGACAATTAGCAATGTGAAATATCACCCATAATTTTTAACGTAAGCCTTAATTTCAGTTGACGCATAAAATTGCATATAGCTATAGAGCTTCATGTTGGGTTTCTTTTTCTTGTTTATTTTATTGGTACATATTTCTAATTCATTCCACTCACAGTTATCTTGGGGAGAGGTTACGTGTACATGGAAACCTTGGATTTATTTTTATCTCCTTCCCCTTCCCTCCCCCTCCCTCCTCCTCCTCTGATTCCCGAATCAGCTTTTCCATGCCCATTGATACTATTGGTCTTAGCTCATGCTATGGCTTATAATATTTACATTGATTAGGGTTATTAGGTTCATGTACATCGCATATCATTACTCTTTTCATTTCTGCTTCCCTTCCCCTTTCTTCCTCTCCTGTTTCATTGGACCATTTCCTTATTGTGCAAAATCTGTCCTCTTGGCCCTTTCTATACATCTTTTTTTCATTTTCCTTGTTGGTAGTTTGCCTCACTAAAATGAGGGATACCATATGGTATTCAAGTTTGTGTGTCTGGTTTAGTTCATGCAACGTTGTTTTTCAGGTGCAATCATTTTCCTGCAAATGCCACAACTTTGTCATTCTTCATAGCCGAGTAGTATTCCATTATATATAGTTTCCATGTTTTGTTTATCCAGTCATCTTTTGATAGGCATACAGTCTGCTTCCAGGCTTTAGCTATTATGAATGTGCTGCTATAAATATTGGTATGCAAGTATCACTGCAATGTGATGAACTGAGCTTTTGGGGGAAGGTATCTAGCATAGGGAATTTCTAATTTCAGTCCTTTGAGAAATCTTCATACAGATTTCTATAATGGTTGTACTAACTTGCATTCACACCAGCAATGCAGGAGAGTTGTTCTTCCACCACGACCGTACCACCATATATTGTTTGATTTTCTAATGATTGCCATTCTTTCCAGAGTAAGATGGTACCTCAGTGTATTTGTTGACCTTTGCATTTGTTCCTCTGTGGAGTGTCTGTTCATTTCTTTATCTTATTTCTTGACTGGGTCTTTAATTTTAGAAGGCTTTTTTGAGTTCTTTATATATTCTAGATATTAATCCTATGTTTGATGAGTAGCTGGCAAGGTTTTTTTGCCCATTCTGTAGGTTGTCACTTTACTCTGCTGATTGACTCTTTTGCTGTCCAGAAGATTTTTAGTCTGAAATAATCCCATGTATGTATTCTTGCTACTATTTCCTGTGTGATTTAAGTTCTGTTTAGGAAATCCTTTTCTACTCCTATGTCTTCAAGTGTTTTACCTATTTTTTCTTCCAGGAGATTTAATGTTTCTGTTTTAATATTTAGATCTTTTATTTATTTTTATTTAATTTACTATATGGTGAGAGATAAGGGTCCAGTTTTATTCTTCTGCAGAAGGATAACCAGTTATCCCAGCACTATTTGTTTAATAGGCTCTCTTTCTTCCAACATATGCCTTTGGACCTTTTGTCAAAGATCAAACAGTTGACTATGTCTGGGGAGGTTTCTGAATCCTCAATTCTGTTCGATCGATCCATGTGTCTGTCTTTTTTCCGTTACTATGTCATTTTTATCACTACTGCTTTGTAGTGCAGATTGAAGTCTGGTATTGCTATGTCACCTGCTTTGGTTTTACTGCCCAAAATTACTTTAGCTATTTGGGGTCTCTTCTGATTCCTTATGAATTTTAGTATTTTTTCTCTAAATATATAAAGTATGGTTGATATTTTGGTTGGGACTGTGTTGAATCTGTATAGCAATTTTGGAAGTATGGCCATTTCGACAGTATTGGTTCTGCTTATCCAAGGGCAAAGACATCCTTCCATTTTCTGATGTCTTCTTCAATCTCCTTCTTCAGGGTGCTGTAGAAAACTTCTTTGGAATTAGAGTCATTCATAGGAAAATGGATACATATTGAGGACATACTCCTAAGTGAAATAAATAAGTCACAAGAGTATAAATACCAAATAATTTCTCCAGTGTGAAAAACTATAATGGTACATAAGATCTTAATGGTATAATTGACAATGTGAAATAGGAACAAAAGGGCTAAAGGTTTAGGGGAAGTGGGAAGGGTAGGGGAAAGGTAATAAGGGAAAAGAAAAAAGTACAAGAAATTGAAAAAATGGAAATAAAGTGTTTGTAAGTGGGGAGAGAGGGTGAATGGAGGGCAGGAACAAGGGGAAAAAATGAGAACCAAGACCTCTCATGTAAAGGTACAAGATCCCAATAATGAATGTAACTGTACTGTGTACCTAAAATGTACCAATAAACTCAGTGAGAAAAAAAAAAAGAAAATTTGTTTGGTTAGGTCAATTCCAAAGTATTTTGCTTTCCTTGAAGAAAATATGAATGGTACTGTTTTTGTAATTTCCTTCTCATCCTATTCATTGTTGGTATACACAGATGCTAATGATTGTTGTGTGTTTATCTTGTATCCTGCTACTTTGCTGAAATTGATTATTAATTCTAAGAGTTTCTTGGTAGACTTCTCGGGGTCTTCCATGTAGATTATCGTGGCATGTACAAGCAATGATAATTTGAATTCTTCCTTTCATATATGTATCCCTTTTATATCTTTTTCTTGCCTAATTGCTCTGGCCAGTGTTTCAAATATTATGTTGAATAGCAGAGGTGATAGTGAACATTCTTGTCTTGTTCCTGATTTTAGAGAAAATGTTTTCAGTTTTTTCCCATTTCATATGATGCTGAAAATTGGCATATCATAAAGAGTTTATAGCATATTCATGTATGGTCCTTCTATAACTGGTTTTTTCAGGGTTTTTATCATGAAGGAGTGTTGAATTTTGTCAAGAGCCTTGTCTATATCTATTTCTATGATAATGTGGTTTTAAAATTTTTGCTCCTGTTTATGTGATGTATTACATTTATACACTTACATATTTTGGACCACCCTTGCTTCTCTGGGATGAAACCTACTTAATCATGGTATATCAACTTTTTGATAATATGCTGCATTCTACTTGCTAATGTCTTGTTGAGCATTTTGGCATCGGTGTTCGTTGGAAAGACTGGCCTTCAGTTCTCTTTTTTAGTTGGGTCTTTACTGGGTTTGGGGATCTGGGTGGTAGTGGCTTCCATAAATAAATTTGGGAGCCCTCCATCCCTTTAAATTTCTTTGAACCACTTAGGGAGTTTTGGTGATATAATATCCTTAAAAGTTTTGCAGAATTCAGCTGTGACTCTGTCAGGTTTTAGGCTTTGTTGTTGTTGTTATAGTAGATTCTTTATGAATGAGTCAATCTCATTGTTTGTTATTTGATTGTTAAGTATTTTGTGTCTTCTTGTGTTAGTTTTGATAGTTTGTATGTGTATAGGAATCTGCCCATTTCTTCAAAATTTGCTCATTTGTTGGAATATAATTTTTCAAAGTAATTACTATCTTCTGAATTTTCACAGTGTCTGTTGTAATTTTACCTTTGTCATTTCTAATTCTATTTATGTGAGTCTTTTTCTTGTTGAGTCTTGCTAAGGGCTTGAGTATTTTACTTATTCTTTCAAAGCTCACTTAGTTGGTTTTTTTATAGGTTTTTGTCTCAATTTCATAAATTTCTAATCTCATTTTTATAATTTCTCTCCTTAGTTTCTGTTTTGGGCTGATTTGTTGTTGTTTCTCAGATATCTGATTTCTCATCAGTTTATTTATTTGGGCTTGCTCTGTTTTCCTAATAGGAGAATTCATTGCAATGAATTATCCTCTCAGAACTGCTTTCAAAGTGTCACAAAGATTTTGTTGAGCTGTACAGTCACTGTCATTAACTTCTAAAGTTTTTAAAATTCCTTCTGTGACCCACTAGTTGTTTAATAGTATGTTGTTAGTTTTTCTGGGAGCTTTTGCCTTTTCCAAATTTTCTTCTGTCATTGATTTCTATTTTCATTGCACAGTGGTTGGATAGTTTGCATAGGGTAATTTCAATACTTTTATATTTACTTAAGCAGGCTTTGTGGGCTAGTGTTATGTACTGCTGAAAAGAATGTATACTCTGTTGTAGATGGATGGAGTACTCTGTATATATCTATTAAATCCATAAGTTTGAGGGTGTGGTTCAGCTCTGAATTTTTTTTTTTTTAGCTTTTTGTTTAGTTGATCTGTTCCTTTGAGAAAGTGGGTTTTAAAGTCCTTTACTATGATTGTGTTAATGTATATTTAATCTTTCAATTTCAGGAGTGTTTTATGATGGTAGGTGTATCACTATTTGGTGCATATATGTTTATCATTATTTTTTCTTCTTGTTAGATTGTTCCTTTAACTAGTATGTAGTGACCTTTTCCCTT